GGTATTTTTCGAAGGCTTCCTCTACGACTCGTTCAATCTTCTTCGAGAAGAGGAAGTGGCCTACTTCTGTAACATTATGCACGGCCACCGATGTGGACTCGTCAAAAAGATCCATCTCCACGTGGAGTTGGAAAAGTACGTGCCCGAGGACTACGGCGTGGCAGAAGACGAGACGACAATTCATCTCAACAACCAGGCATTTAGCAGGAATTTGCTGAGCCTCTTCAAGACCCTCTCGGGATGGCAGGGATGTGGCGGTCTATCGCTTGAGTTGAGCGCAAGTTCCCCAAGCGATACCCTGCATGCCTGGCCAAATTTCAGACTCAAGAATTTGGACGTGAATAATTTGCACGATTTGAATGGTACCGACACCACGAAGAAGAGAGCGGGTCGAACAGATCAGCCAACGGAACCATGGCCGTGTGCAGATGCGTACGACGGTTAGAAATCTCCTCGACTTTGGTCTTTCCGACAAAGACGACCCGCAGAGGCTGCAGTCTCTAGACAGGCGCAGCCTGGATCATGGTCGTGAGCATACGCAACGGATGCTTGGAAATCTCCTCGACTTCGTTCTTCCCGACAACGACGACCTGCAGTTTCTAAGCAGCGCAAAGATCTCGGCTGTCTCGCGGTTTGCCATCAGCCTGCAACACCACAGAACCCCATCTCCACAAGCTCTCGAATATATAATTGGAATGTTACCAAATGTCGAGGAGCTTGTTTACGAGCCTTGGCGTGGGATGGACCAGCGACATGATGAGTTGCTTGGTCTGGCGTATTGGACGCTTCTAACCGAGATGCCAAAGGAAGTTAAAAGGGTATCTCTTTGGCAAGAGAGCCATCCTTGGATGCACACCGGAGCCGATGCGCCAGACATATTTGACATAGCAACGGCCGCGGCCAAGGCAAGTCGTCAGCTTGAAACGCTCTACGCAACGTGTGTATTTGATGCTCTGGATCTCTTTTTGTCGGCAGGCCCTCAGCCTTGGCCAGAGCTGAGACATTTAGCTCTTACATCGCCCAGGCTTGGAGCTTCAATGAAGTATACACGCGCCAACAAACTGCTGCATCTTGCTGCACGAGCGGCAAGCAGGATGCCCAAGCTGGAGCTCATGGAGTTGTGGCACTGCGAGGAGAATAAACACCAATTTTTCTTCCGATATGAAAGGAGAGGAAATACTGCAAAGATGACAATTGAATCATCCTGGGAGTTTCGAATGGACAAGGAAACGAACACAAAATGGACGGAAACCACAAGAAATTTGGGGATCCACCTGAGTCCAACCATACTTCATATAGACCTGGTTGTCCCGAGCAGAACTCCTTTCAAAAACAAGGACAGGCTACGTGGCAGAGTATGTTGGCCCTATGAGGGAAATGAGAAAGAAAGAAAGCAGTGGACGAGGGATCGTGCCTTGACGCAGGAGGAGTGGTATCACAGTTATGACGTTCCCTTTTATGATCTGTATTATGTCTGAGATCGGAGCAAAATATGATCCCTGCAATGCAGGTGACATTGCAGGTATGACTGGGGTCACTTCTAAAAAGGCGAGATCGGATTTGGACATACAACCCGGCCGCGAGGTACACATCAAGGCCAATCGGGTTGTCAGCTGAGAGAGGAAGCTTGAGCTCAAAGTGGATGAATATCTCACTAGTTTCAAGTGGCAGTTGATGGAGACTGTGACGACCAAGAGCACGACAGCGTGGACAGCAACAGGGACAATGAAGACGACGGAACAAGGGATAACATGCATAGATGCTACCTGACTTCAACAGAAGTCCGTATAATCAGGTCATCTATCAAACCAATGCAACGTGTCCCTTCTTGTCACTCAGGTTCCTGATGCCGTGACTGATGGTTGTCAGTTTTTCACGAAATAAATGCCGCTTTAATAATGAATGCAAGCCGTATTATAGCTTTCAGGTACCGGAGAACAGCAAGATCAAGAATCGGTATTGCCGATCACGTCGTGAAGTAAGTGGAATGCAGCGGCTTCGCTTGAGACAGAAGCTACATCAACTGGCGAAAGGATCTACCCTAAAAATTCAATTTTTGAGGAACATGACAATGAAGACACATAGTATCATGGGATCAGAAAATGGCGTGTACGATGTTATGCACAGAAACACTTTGGTGAAAGATTCATTGGGTAGGATCAGGTGTCGAAGGTCTACTGGAATTCCTGCCAACGACCTCACTCTCACCAACTTACGATGAATCCAATCCAGTGCAGCACATGTAGAAGATGCAGAAGCTTCTTTGGAGGCATTGGCAGAAGTGATGGCAAAAATGTTGAGCATCAAAAGAGCCAATTTACACTATTTCGCCTATCTAGTGCGATGAGATAGGAAACTTCAACACCGTTTTCATCACTCACTCATGTTAACCAGTTAATGAGGAAGAGGGAACAGGTAGCCTATAGCGGAAGCTGCTACCCAGCGTTGGTTTATCTTCGCCGCGAAGAAGAAGTTGACTGCCGTTCTCGAGGAAGTTATCTTCGATGAAGTACCTGAAGAGTTGCATCGCGCGGCGGATGCTCGGATGGCTACCAAGAAGGTCAGCATAAATGCGTCTCAAATCAACAATCCTCATCGTTTTGTATATCTGCGCGCACTGGGTTGCAAGCTGCACAAGAAGGGACCGCAATCTGGTGTAGGAACCTTGATCCAACGGACCGTGATGCCACATTGAGGCGGGACCGCGCACTAGCTCCAATGTCTCCAGAGTATCTGAGAAATTGACGAAATTGCCTTGGAGAAAGGCCTCCAAGTCCATGATCTTCAGATGTTTCAGTTTTGTGAATCGGCGCAGACCTTTGTTGCAATCAGCCATATTCTTCGACGGCACAAGCCAAGCACAGGTCTCCAGCTTATTCGAAATCTCGTCGAGGGCGTTTTCAGGAAGATGTCGAAGGCTGCGAAAGTTGACTAGCGTACGAATGTTTGGAAGACAGGCGATAACTCGCCGGCATTCCGGTTTGGTTGAAACCGTGCAATTATAGAACCATGCCTCATCAACCTGCGGCAGCCGAGGCAAGAGCTTTGATAGCTGTTTGCGAAAGCCTCTCATTGACAGTCTACGTAAGGCAGGAAAGTGCGGAAGTAGAGCACACCATCGAGAAAGATATACTGTCCCGTCGGATGGGTGGTTCTCAATGTCTAGGGCCCTCAAGTTGGTGAGATTGATCAAGTTTGGTCGCAAATACTTCTTGATCATGTCCGCGCCTCTGTATCCAGGGCCAGAGTTCCCGGATCTCAACCACGACACAGCCAAATCGGTGACTGAGCTTTGGAGTTCGGGTCTTCTGCATGTGATGGTGTGAAGGAATCTTGGGAGACCTTCCTTTCTGTTGCCAACCAAATTCGGCTGACGATAGACGAATTCCGCGCAGACTGCCTGCAGCCGTGAGTGGCACCTCCCCAAGTTGAGTAGATCCGAGACTTGGAACGAAGACACCAACAACTCACCAGGATATCTGATGTCCAGAGACGGTGTCAATTCCCAAACTTTTCCGGTCCATTCACTTCGTTCTTCGTCCCCCTTGGCAAGGTATTGTCCAACCAGACACTTTTCTTGTAAGGGAGGGTCATGGCGTGCGAGGTATTCTGCAATTTGAAGCAGAAGTTCAAAAGGTAGGGCCTCGAGCTTTGCGATCGGAGAAGTTGGTGACAAAGTCTGTGATAACATTTCGCTGTTAATCGAGGCTGGTTGAGATGATGCTTGGTTGTTGCTTCGGGTTGATGTTTTGGTAAGTGGGATGATGTGGGTCTGTGGCTGCCAAGAAACCCAACAACATTCAGGACGTGTTTATATGGTAGGAAGGTAGAATAGAGAAGGCCTTGAGGGTTTCATTCATGAATGCATTTGTGATACGAAGATAATGAGGCGTCTTGGCTGCAGGTTATGTCCAGACTGAGCCATTGAAACAACGGACTCATGCTGTTATTTGCCTTTGTCCGCTACACAATAAGCCATGGATTAAACCACAATACTATTGTTAAACTACCATTGGTCCGTGACTGAAAGATTCTAATTGCGAAGGCCGTGTGTCTGGAACCGCAAGTTCTCGTACAACACCTTTGTGTTTAACATCATAGAATCTGACGTATTACTTGTCCATGCGGGCTTCAGATACACATACACAGAAATGAACATGGAAAACACCCATCAGACAATGTTGTTATGAATCAACTGGCCATATCGTAAATTTGCTTTCGTAGGTCGTTGCCGAGGATTACCTGCATTAATTACTGGACGGCCTTATTTTCCTGTGCTAGAGTGACTACTTTTCCTGTGGCTATACCTTACTATCGTCGCTACTAATATTATTATTTTTGTTACTATTGTCGTTACTGTTATTGTCGTCTATCGTCGTCGTCTATCGTCGTCGTCTATTACAATTATCCTCATCAAAGTTACTAAGTGCACAGGAAGTATAGCCACTGAGACATAGGAGAATTAAGCGATGTCTTAATTACTTGCATTCACTAATCGTGAGAAGAAGCTTGGCTTGGAACTTGTTGAAAGCGTTGCTGGCTTAGAAGTCCATAGATAATGGCTGAGATAACGAGTACGTAGGGTTGCTAGTTGGGGATCAGATGGCACTTGTGTGATGTCTTGACATCACTAAAAATAAGGGGGTGGCTTGATCCCAAGCCTGAGATGCCAATCATACACATACCTAAATGCAATGTCATATGGCTGCTCGGCTTTCCCACGCTTGACCCTCCTGTCACCTGTGTTCATCAACGTAACCGAGCTACGGATGACCCAAGAATGGGCTGATGTAATGTCACCATTCACGCTTTTGGCTATGGCAGGGGTGATGTTCTCTGTCTGTTACAAACCTTAAAACTAGTCATGTGCAGTTGCGGGTTGTTTTACCCCAACTGTATAAGACCTCGGGAACCGCATCAATGCCGACCTGAGCAACATGTTTTGACCCCTCATCCTAGGTTGTCCATCTATTTCGAGGACCCGACGAGAAAACAGAAAAATGCAGCTGACATATCCTGATATTGTCCGAAGGCTCTACGACCTCGAGCGTCTTGCGGAACCGCCCGAGGCGGAGGAGCGCGGTGGGTGCATGTCGAGCTATGACCGTCGCTCTCGGTACGACCCGGATACCGACACCTACATCGACTGGGATGCAAATGACGATGGCCGAGGCATCATCCGCGAGGAGGGAGAATGGGTCGTCGCTTTCGAGCAAGAAGGCCCAGGAGTCATCTGGCGAACTTGGTCTGCGATGCCTGACATGGGACGCATCCAGGTCTTCATCGACGACAGAGATAATGAGAAGCCGGTGATTGACATGCCTTTCCGAGATTTCTTTGATCGGTTTCAAGGCATGCCGCTCAACTTCCCCTCAATTGCACCGACCTTGTCACGAGGCCGCAATTGCTTCATCCCCATCCCCTACAACAAGTATGCACAGATTCGTCTTGGTCCCGGCTGGGGAGCATACTATCACTTCACGTACACCAAGTTCCCTAAAGATACGAAAGTGCCACGGTTTGATGGGAATTTTGACCGAGAGGCTTGTCTAGCGCTCGCCGCTGCTGATCGCGAACTCGGCCAGCGTGGATGGTCCGCACTCCCACGATCCAAAGATGACACGTTGGAGACCCTCACCGTTACCATCCCACCTGGCAAGACACATGCCGTCCGGGAGATCATTGGAAACAGGGCTATTACTGGAATGCGGGTTGTTCCGTTGGATCTTCCAGAGTCTCACCAGGAAACTGCTCAAATCTTACGCGAGCTGGTTTTCCAGATCATATGGGACAACGACAAGACCCCAAGCGTCTGGGCACCACTCGGGGACTTCTTCGGAAGTGTTCCTGGTATTCAGACCTACCGTTCTTTAACCCAAGGGTCAACGGACGGTGGCGGCTTCTACAGTCACTGGTTCATGCCGTTCTCCGACCGTGCTCTGCTCAAGATTACAAACGATGGGAAGAAAGAGGCAAAACTCTTTTTAACGATCTGCCACCGTCCGCTGGAAAAGTCTGCAAAGGACATGCTACGGTTCCACGCCAAGTGGCACCGAGACGCATTCCTAGAGCGACCCATCAGCCAAGGGAGAGACATAGACTGGCCACTCCTTATCTTGGACGATGGCCCTGGTCGTTTCTGTGGAGTGCAGATGCATGTCTGGAATCACTGGCAAGAACCAAAAGTGCCGGCCAAAGACTGGTGGTATGGCGTCGGCGGCGAGAAGTCAATTGACTGGTGGTGGGGAGAAGGAGATGAGAAGTTCTTCGTTGACGGTGAAAAGTTCCCGTCGACCTTCGGAACAGGGTCCGAGGACTACGTTGGATATGCGTGGGCGGCCGAACCGCCCTTCCCAACCTTCGACAGTGCCTACGCTTGCCAGCCCTACGTGGAACTGGACGCCAATGGTCACACCTCTGTCTGTCGCTTTCACGTATGCGACGATGTACCGTTTCACAAGAGCTTTGAAGCGTACATCGAGAAGTACAAGCCGAACAATTGGGGGCCTGGGAATGACTGTCTGTACGCGGTGGTGGCTTACTGGTATCAGAGAGCGGGGGGTTCGGATGCTTACGAGAGTGCGCCTATGAAAGATCGCTACGTCGATCGCCTTGGGCAATCCGATCACTCGGGCAAGGCGAAGGATGGTGGAGAAGACTTATAAAGGGCTGAATGATGCAGGATTTTGGAAATAATCGTATGCTTCTCCTTGATTGATCCAAAGTAGTCAGTGGATTACGACGCTCCTCTCTTCCATTTGCTGTCTTACTCTTAGTGCCCTTCAAACTTTGGAGTTAATACTTCAGACTTTATTATTCTCGCCTGCAAACGATGTAAGCGCAGGCCGGTGGGCGCACTTACAACGCTCTCAGAAGACACAAGGCGGGGGCCGGGAAACTTTAAACTCCGTGAAGTGGGTGGCCTGTCCTGGTCACCATGGAAGCCTTGAACGCTTTATCCGTCGAAGCATCAATATCGGACTCGGTTGGGTCGGCAGAGGATATCTACTGTCAAGTTTTAGCACGAATCGGTTTCCGAATGACGCTCGGAATCGCGTACTAGCTTACGTTGCAATGATCCCACCGCAGATGAGGGCGCCGTTCAGACGGTTCTCAAGACGAAGACACCATTGAACAGATGATGGGTTTCATCCATCACCCGTACCATACACACCTGTCCAACGTTCTGGAACCTGGGGTCTCACTGACAGGGGTTGGCCTGCTCCGCATAGCCAAGTGAGGAACAAGCTTTTCAACGACGACCTAGGTGACGCTTGTGTGACGGATACTAGCCGCGCGGATAGGGCCTTCAAGGCTTAGCCTGGGAGCGAAGGGGAAACAAGGAGCGCTTCAATTTGTCAAGGGGGCTCTTATTTCACACCCCTCCTGCTAGCCGGCGCACCCTTCGGTGGCTTGACGCTGAGGTAATCACTGGCGATTGGCTGCTTAGGAAACTCGCGATAGTTCTGTGTTACTGTGAAAACACGGTCTTTATCCTACTTTCTGCTACTCACCTGCTAGATTACCCTCTGCTGGCTGGCCTTCCTCTGCTTCTAAGGCCTCACTTATAGAGGGCAGGGCTTAGGGCAAGCTAGCAGAGCGAAACCCAGAAGGAGGGCAGGCCGGAGGGTAGAGGGCAGAGTAAGCAAGGCTTACACGACAGCCTCTAGTAAAGCAGTACAGCAGCGGACTTCACACATGCCTAGCCACACTCCAGCCACCGAAGGGTGCGCCGGCTAGCATGAGGGGTGCGCCGCGGAGGGTGGCCCTTTGTCAGTTGCTCTGGAGAGAGCAAGGATGAGCCTAGACGTGTACAGTGAAGCGGACATGTCCAGTCATGAAGGTTTGCCGTTCGCCGAAGTCATGACAGAGAAGACGGGGTGAGAGTTGTGGGGGACGGACATTTGGTGAAAGGGCCACTCAGCCAGACGGGATGGACGGAATGCGAACGTTTCAGCAGAAAAGTCAATATCATGAGTTGAACCCCAGCTTGGTCTCATTTCTGAAACGGTCAAATGTACATCGACATTTCCCATCAACTTGCGATAAGACTCAGCCCCTCAACTCAAGTCCATATACCCTTGACAACGAGTTGACGGGCCAGTTCCTAGTTCAAGGTTGCGAGCAGGAGGATGGAAACTTCGATTACGCCAGCAACCCTATCGTGGGCAGCGTTATATAGGATGAAGGACAGCGTGCAGAAACCGTCTGTTGTTGCCTCCGGGCAGAAACTTTTATCCCTCCACAGATGGCCGACTTGCGATCATGATATCGACGAAGAGGTTTTCAGTGCAAGCGCGAGAGGCACGCATCGTGTACTTGAGTTGCTTGAGCTGTTTGGTAATATTGGTGGTTTTCTTCAGCCTTAACCTATGGCCACAATTCGATTTGGGCTCTCTTCACTTTACCGAGGGCCACTCGAAGACACAACATGACTACCAGTCGACGCACAATACCGATGCGACAACGAATACGACCGACGATGGCGAGACTCTTTCACTGATTCCAAGTCATTCAACAACAGCAGAACCGGCCGGACTAAACGGTTTGAAATATGCCATCATCCTTCCAACATACGTAGGTTCTCTTCACGGGAAGGCACTGATGCTGAGTACTGATGGACTAACATGCTTGGCATCTAGACAAAACATATACCGCTGGCCATCGAGTTCTTCCAGTCATTCATGTGCCTGTGCACCGACTACCAAGAAATCGACATCCACGTAATCGCTTCTGACTCCAATGAGGTGAAGGAGTTCCAAAATGCCTTGAACGGTCTGAAGAGTTGTGGCGAAACATTTAGCATATTCCAAACACCACCGGCGAACATTAACGGACCGAAACCGAAGTTCAACATTGTGAACCTTTTCGACATATTGCCGCCAGTTTTTCACACTTTGACTAAAGGCAAGATCACGGGCGCAGACACCTCGGCGCTGATAAGTGAACGCAACAAATATCAGTACCAAACAATCAAAAAGATGGCCGCGGCTATGGAACTCAAGTATGACTGGGCACTGTGGTTGGACTCCGAAGCCATTGCTGTGCAGCCGTTCAGCATCAGGCAGACTTTCGACAGTTACATAAAGAACCCAACAATATTCAGGTCTAAAATGACCAACACCGACTTCATGCGAGCCATCATAGGCAGCTCTGCGAACGTACTCAATCGGGACATTGAGTCGTTTGGGCAGAAGTTCTGGAACTTGGAGAGGTAGGCAAGATTCGCGGACCCAACTGCCAACCACACCAACTAACTCGTACTCTTCTCTCAGCGTGGAGTGGATATTTGAGAAGGCAGTCATCGACGATCTCGTTCAATACGTGGAGAACACCCATAACCAGGACTTTTGGACTGTCTGGGCCACTCGGGGTTCCCCATTCGAAATCAGTCTCTACAATATGCACGTTCAAGCACGGAAGCTGGAGACAACCAACCCAATGTTTACGAAGTATCAAATCATCGAAACGGAAACAGAGATGGAGAGGTTTGGCATCGGTAAGTGACAGACGTTTGGCTACAGCCCGGAATCCGGGTCTCAAGTTTACAGTTGCTAACAACTTTTGCTCACTAGGAGCGGCAAGGGCGATCATGGACACGATGACAGGCACTGGAATGCTCGAGAGAGGCTACGAACTCTTCAAAGTAGCAGAAGTCGTGCCTGGCTTCTCCGCAATGTTGAGGAAGTTCGGACAACGTCTATTTCGACTGGACGACCTCGGTATCGCCCCGCCAGAAGTAATCGACAAATTCCTCTTGGACACACCAATAGACATTTTGTGCTCAGGTGCACCTCCACTACACAGCTGGTGGGAGCAACGAAAGAAAACCATTAGATAGCGTCATGGATAAAATACCCCTTTTCATTCTGTATAACGCAAAGGCCACTCATGCACACAATTTGCACAAGGATTGTGAAGTCCTCACAACCTTAACGTGACTCGGCCATATCGAAAGTACTAACAATTAGAGTTTCCCTGTCACCCCTCAGGTCCTCGCCAACACACTCTTCTGGTAGGTCAAGCGTCGCTCCCCGCCTTACATGCCAGGAGCTATCCTTCGTGTCGGGAGCTATCCTTTCGCAAATGATGAATTTTGACATCGCCTCAGCACTGGAGGGCAACCCTAGAAAGTTGGCCAATAGTACTATTACCCGCCGTTGCCGCGCCGGTCACATAGAGAATCCTTTCAGGTTGAAATCTGTCCAAAGCCACGGACGACGCAGACCCCAGAAAGGGTGAGGATGCGAGAACATCCTTTCCGCCCCTAACTGCATCGATTTTGAGAACCTCTTGAGGACCGTTTGTGGCAACATAAGCCCATTTCCCGTCCTTTGACAGCGTAAAGTCGTCGCCGAAGGTGATGTTTGAGGCTAGAACCTGGACAGGCCCAGCTGCCGATCCATCGGCAAGGGAGATGGGAAGCTTTGCAAACAGACCCTGGTCCAAGCTCACAAAGAAGAGGTCGCTGCCGCGAATGCGAATGCCATTGACGCCGATGCTGAGACCGGTAGACAACGGAGCCATTTCAGGCTCCTCGAGAACCGTATCGAAGACTCCAGTCTCGACATCAAGACGGTAGACCGTCCCCGCGCTTGAATCCGAAATAAGAAGGTTCTTCGTATCGTTCGCTGCCAGACGGGTCATGCCGTTGAGCTGCTTTGCTGAGGGCATGCGCTGGACCAATGAAACTTCGGCAGGCTGGGTGACAGTGCCGTTTCGGGAAATTTCGAAGTTGCGGAGATTGACTTTCCACACTCCGTTAGAGTTCTCAGTCGACGTCAGGTTCGATCCAACGACGTAGAAAGAGTCGTGCTCCATCTCGGAGATTCCAAGAAGACCGGTAACGCCGTCTATGCTGGCAACGGGAATCGGAGGGTGTTCGTTCGTAGGAGACAACTGATGTAGGATCGGCGATGAAATGGAGGCGACGAGGATATTGCCATTGCGCCGCGTTGCGAGGTTCTCGAGTGTTGTGGTGCCAGGTACCGTATAAACCGACGTCACGTTCGCTTTCTTGCCGTTGCAATAGCTGTAAGGCAGAGAGTGAACTGATGCAGCCAGAGAGAGGACGGCGAGCCCGAAGGCCGGAAGAACAGTATGCGGAACAAACATGGCTGGGGGATCTCTGGTTGAGCAGACTTCAGGGGTAAGACCTGACGAGAGATATCGAGTCGGGGGAGTACTGGCTTTTATGGCATGAAGCCGCGGTATCGACAAAGAAGCACTAAGGTCCAAAAAACCTGGTCAAGAGATATTAGGTATCCACACAAATCGCCATGAGCTGGTCGTGAATTGAACTCTGAGCAAGATGACATGAACGGTGTTTGCACTTTAAGTCCGAGCCCTCAAGGTGCACACGATTCAATGGGCCCAGACGTCCGCAGCTCACCACTTACTATTGTTTCTACAAAATTTGTTTCGTTGCAATAAACTACTGACCCTGCCAGCTAAAGCGAGCCGCCGCGCAAGCGTCAGTAAAAAGAATTAACGCCTTCGGGGCAAAATTGCCGGAACACAGTGAGTAGGAAACATCCAGCCCCGCGCTTTCCACGGCATCCACGGGGCGAGGCGAAAAGAACAAAGATTGAATAGTTCAACACGTCCCATAGTCAGTGCAATAGATGGGTTGGTCCGTTGGATAGGGGATCACCTAGACCACCTGGTTTTCCTATGTCTGCGCGGCATTCCTGTGGCTGCAATTACTCCCTCCTATTGAAGACGATAGCAGTGATAGCGACGACGACGACAACGATGACGACGACAGAAGTAATAAAGGGAACGATGGTAAGGTAGAGTCTAGCCACAGGAAAAGTAGTCGCTCTAGCACAGGAAAGATAGGCGATCTCGTTGAATAGGTACCGAGGCATTTGAAGCCCTTGTCCGAGATGACAGTTCGATACTGCGTTCGCAGAGCTTTGCTGCCCGCCTAAAACGGGTGCACCGATTTTCATGGGCCCTTAGATATCATCTTGAAAATGGAACTAGTCATCAATCCCGACAGGATGGGGACTCTCATGTCGGATTGTAAGACTGCAATCCTCATTGTCATACATCTGTGATGACAGAGAGAAGCTGAGTGAGAAATCTATGTAGTGAAGGGAAGGCAAGACGGGCGGCGTTCAATCCTGGCCAAGAAAGACATTTTCTGGGAATCCGCATTCTTAATAAGATACAGGATACCTAAAACACGTGCGTTTACCAGATCTTGGGGCGGGCAATGATCCCGACTATCTCAGTCACTCATGGCGGACAGAAGACCTACCAATCACTTCAATTGCAGTGAATACATCATTGATATTTCCATCTTAAGTCCATGTCAGCGGGTAAAAGCTTTAAATCCGGTCTTCGAAAACATTCTACTCGGTAATCCGATTCATGGGCCCCAATATGTTTGCCGCCGGGTGGTCCCGATGCCGTGTTTTGTGGCGCCGGTTTGCCAGGTTGTCAGCGACCCGCATGTTAACGCCGGAACTCCGTCAGTGCATCGCGGCGCTCTCTCATTCACCCGCGCGCTGTACGTCATCAAGAGAGTCTCAATCGTACAAGTTGTTGTTATATATAAAGAGGTCTAGTTGCCAAGCTTCATTCTCTGTTTGGTTGTCAGTAAAGAGCTTGGCACACGCGATTTAATAATTCAATTCAACTATCAAACGGCACTTGATCAACCCATCAAAATGGTCAAGACACTAGCTTTCGGAGACATTGAGGTCCCTTCCCCTGGCTTTGGTGCCATGGGTATCAGCTTTGGTCTCGGTTCCAACTTGAGTCTTGAGGAGGCTGAGCCCGTGCTTCTGAAGGCAATTGAGCTGGGATGCACATTCTGGGATACTGCTGTAAGTGTTACTTGAGCTTTCGCAGTCGCAGTTGCGGGCTCTAATTATTTCATCTAGGTGGTCTACCAAGCAGGTGTCAACGAGAAGCTCCTTGGAGAGTTCATTAGGAAACACAACGTTCGCGATAAGGTTTTCAGTAAGTCTACGAGACTCGTCAATTTGGACTGGAACTAATTGTTTGCAGTCGCTTCCAAGTGCGGTTTTGATGTGTTTGGAAAAGGTGGAGTGACCAACTCTGCGTCCCACATCAAGCAATACGTCGAGGGAACCATTGAGAGACTTGGCTTCGCCCCCGACCTCTACTACCTTCACCGCATTGACCCTAGTATGTCACTCTGTCCAAGTCTTTTGAATTTCTAAGCTAACTCGAATACCAGACACGCCACTCGAGGAGTCTATCCCTGCACTGGATGAGATTCGCAAGGCGGGAAAGACGAAGTACATTGGCTTGTCCGAATGCTCAGCTGCGACATTGCGCAAGGCCAACTCTAGTGAGTTTCGGCACATCTCAAACCAGATTCAACAGAAGAAGCTAACAACACGCAGTCGCCAAGATTGATGCGGTTCAAGCAGAGTACTCAGCCTTTGAGACTCTCCACGAGACCGACGGACTTATTGACACCGCCAAGGAGTTGGGCGTCGCGTATGTCGCCTATAGTCCTCTGGGTCATGGCTGGCTGGTCGACGATTTCCCGTTCAAGAGCCCGGACGACTTTGCCCCGGATGACTTCCGTCGCAGTGGTTAGTTGACTCGTCTGAAGTGACTACTGTATGTGCACCGTGCTGACATTGGTTAAAACAGTTCCCAAATTCCAGGGAGAGAACTTCTACAAGAACAAGGCTATTGTCGATGAGATTAAGAAGCTTGCAGACAAGAAGGGCTGCACTCTGCCCCAGATCGCCCTCGCGTGGGTCGCTGCTCAGGGCATGATTGCCATCCCCGGTACAACGAAAGCCAAGAGGCTCGAGGAAAACTGGGCGTCTCGAGATGTGGAGTTGACAGAGGAAGAAAAGAAGGAGATGAGGAGGATTATTGACGCTGCTAAGCCTCATGGAACTAGATATGGCCCCAGTCACCAGGCTCTGGTTGGGCACTAAATCAGGCTGTGGAGTGCGCAACCACGCTTTAGGTGTCAAATGAATGAAACTTTTCACTAGTGTTGTTCGGCACTTTCAGACAAGCCCGGCTCTAAGAAAGCATAGCGACCTGGACCACATGTTCTCTTCCAATGGCCTTCCTAGAACATTGATGTTCGTTTGCCTGCCGGAATTGTTACTCGTCGAAGGCGTCGGTTCCCTAGCGTTGTCGTACTCGGGCAGAATGGTCTATCGAACTCTATTTTAGTTACGCTCGTCGTTGAATCTTTCGCTGATAGGTGATTAATCTGAAACCGTCGCGACGAGTCTAAATCTAGCCCTCAGACGATAAGAAAGGACTGACGAAAAGTCCGTTCTCCAAAACACTGTTCATCATCACAATATAACCATCTAGAAAATTTTCGAATGCGTTGCTTCCCAGACGCGAACGGTGAGTATGCCGCCCAAAGTCGCTTATCCAACGGCAGGGAAGGCGTCTTCCAGAATACGACAAGCATGCGATGTCTGCCATACCCGCAAGATTAGATGCGACGGGCGCCGTCCGTGCATGAACTGTCGGTTGGCGAGGGTTGACTGTACTTACAACGCCGTGCCCAAGAAGACCGGACCAAAAGGGCCACGACTTAAGCGTAAATATCATCATCGGGCGGCAACTTACTCCAGGTTCGGCAACTAAGTCGGAGTGAACAGGTTCCGACAGTGCTCGAACTACGGAAGCCGCATCATGGAGCGAAACTCAGGTCGAATTTCGACCGTCACCTCTAGTTTCAGCCGACCTGTTCAGACGATATCTGGACGTTTACTTCACACGAAAATATCCCATCACGCCCATATTGGATCGCAATTGCATGGAAGAATGCGTCTCGACATATTCCGAGTCACCCGAAAAGTACGGGTTGTTGACATCATGCTGTGCAACCATAGCTTTGGATTCAGAAGTTTTGTTACAAAAGTTTGAACCGACGCCAGCATATCTACTATCGTCTGCTCAGCCCAGCGTAATTCTCCCAACGCCCGAATTCTTCGTTCAGGAAACGCTTCGTGCAAGACGGCATATTCATCTTGCCGAAAGTCTATCCCTCACGCACATCTACACGTCATTCTTTCTCTCGCATGCTTTCTTCTGTCTCAATAACGGGAATGCCGCGTGGGTTTATCTCAGAGAATCTGTTACAATCCTGCAAACGCTTCGGCTCCACGAAGAAGCAACATACAGCAAAATCAGAGATCAGACCGTGGCTACATATGCTCGACGGATGTTTTGGACGCTCTTCGTCACGGAACGGTCTTTCACAATACAGCGAGAAAGACCACTGACGCTACTACCCACGATAAACCTGCCCGAAGTCGATCCTCTTAGTCCTGACGCCGAGATTCTGGCAGGGTTCCTTGACCTGGTTTCGCTTTTCCTTCCATTTGACTTCGACTTTATTACCACTATGAACCTCCCTATTTCTCCGGCGTTGAAAACGACAAAGGCAGCGCAATTCAGGCGGCTGCAGGACAAATTGTCGACCTGTCTTGCCAAAATATCGCACTATCCCGAGGCACAGCAAGCAGACTTATTAGTTACTCGAGAGTGGCTCAAGATCATCGTCTGGAAGATTTGCGTGTCAAAATCCCTACTATCAAGCAGCATAAATAGTAGAGATAGCATGTCGCTCAGCTATCCTTCGTCGATAGCCCGCGAAACCGTCCTCATTTCCCGATTACTACCGTCAAAGGCCTTCGAAGCCAACGGAGTTGCCATTTTGGAGAAAGTTTTTGACGTGGGATGTTCACTAGCTGACGTCCTGTCACTTAATCCGCATCCGCCAAGCAGTGTTTGGTCAGCAATGGATGTCGGTCCGATCGATGTCTTGGTGGAAATTGTCAGAATAGCAGGCACAAAATTCGGCGATGGCTACCAGCATCTGCGAATACTGGTAGATAAGACATATCGTTGTGTGCTGATGAATGTTGATAGAAGTCTACCCTTGCCAACAAATGCGTCACGGGTACAAGCAGAAGAGATAGATTGATCAGTGCTGAGAATAGCTGCATGCTAAGCTGAACAACATCGCGTATAAAATTAATGTCAACATTAGATACTATTTCAGGCTTACAACTGACAGCATTCTCGTCTTCATTCGGTGCTTGCTAGGGCGCTGTGGATACATAGCTACTAATTATCATTACCTATGGAAGGATGGGGAACAATGTACGTTCTAATGCGCACCGTTTCTTATGTTGACCTTCTGTTTGCATTCTCTTTAAAATGTTCTCGGTTAGCTTATTCCCGGATATTCTAGGAAAACAGTTTTCTTCGTGTCTTTTCGAATCCTACGCGCTTGTTGCCTCTAAGTCCCCTTCATACACCCACAGCCTTTGTTAATGTTGCAGGGAGAGCTTAATCAGCTTGAGTTGCTGCAGATGCTTCTTTTGGAGCATTTCCAGGGATTATTTTAGGGTTCTTTACTGACATGAAACAACAAATGGTAACTCAGGTTCTGGAGAAACTTAGTGGAACTTGTCAAAGGGCCGTTTCCCCTGGTTCAGCTTATGCGCGAAACATCACGGCCATTACCGGCACGTGATGAGGTTGGGGCCATTGGGTCTTATTGAGACTGAATCTTGACTCTATCGCGCTCAACAGACACGTTTGGAATCAAACTGAGCTCCCGACGGAATGACGATGGAGGTTTCGGCAATGCACCACAAGCAGCCGCTTGAGAGTGAAACGTTGGTGACAGCTCCCTGACTTTTCCTCTTGAAGATCAACCACCTATCGTCACATTGGTGAGACAAAAGCCGTACATACAAATACACTCGCCAGAACCATGCTAATCACAGTTCTAATACCCTCTGATCTCAAAACATCATTGCAAGTTGATTTAAGTTGGTGGAGAAATCACGGCAGCTGCAAATTATGTCCCCAAGGCGTACTCCCGTTCGATCAGTGTACATGCTGAGTCGCCTACAGGGCCCCGCAGTATCCCATACGTTATACGGTATCAAGCTCCATGTTCACTTCGCCCAAGCACTTCTCGTCATTCCCATCAACGAAAGCAAAGGAATCGTCTGGTACGCCACCCGCGAAGAAAGCTCACGGCCGGTGATATGGAAACGAGTTCAAGTCGAGGTCACCTGGCAGCGCTTCAGGCCCAACCTACTTGGGCATTTCGAGATCGAAGATTCTGCCATTGACAGTCTCGGCAAGTATCTCCCTTTCTCGCGCAACTTGAACTGCTTTCTAATTTGGTCACTAGCCCGTCTAGCCATGAGGCATGTCAGAGCAACTAAGAACTCGGGTTCAGCTCAAGATGAATGCATCCTATTTTGTGAAGAGCTTGGCCAGCTTCTTCTCGAAACGGAACCATCTCGGGACGACAGCTCTAGGCCTCTGGACGAGCTATTGAATGACGTTTCCTTGACCACCAAGCAGCTGTCTCCAAGTACTGGGATCTGCCCCCTTCTGTTGACCGCCTTTTCTGACTTCATTCCAGAACAAGAAACGGATCGCGAAGGGGACGATTTGTTCGCCTCCTCACTGTCGACATCAGCGTCAGGTCCTCAACCTTTCACAAAAGGACAAAAGCGGTACGACAAGATTCGAGCTTTACTAATCAGGTGGGAAGAACATACCCTCAGTCATAAGAGCGCGGGAAGCCCTCGAATCCTACAATTACAAGGTGGAAGAGTTCCGAATTCCGAAATCCGAGCCCTTGCAGAGCCTGACAAGCAAGATTCGCGCTTCTGCTGCGGACATCAAGGAAAACCCGAACCTGAACACACTGTTGATCATTTGGTACTATGGGCATGGCGGTTCATGGCCCGATGGTGAGAATCGCTTGACCCTTGCCAGGTAGGAGTGATACCATCCCAGCCACAAGCCTACATCTGTTCTGTTTCTCTAGAGAGAGCGTCCCTGCTAACTGAAAGCCACATTCATCGAAACGGTGGCACGCGTGTCCGCTGGAGTGATGTAGCAAAGGCCATTCTCCAAGTCAGGACCGACGTCTTCACCATTCTCGACTGTTGCTTTGCTGGAGCATCGGCGCTAAGTGAAGACCTACTGCAACCCTTCATCGCAAGCAACAAAGACTACGTCAAGTGGGTTTTGAACGCGTCCGGCTTTGAGAATGTCTCGATGACGGGGCATGAGAACGCTCTGGCGTACGCAATCGCTGACATCTTGGACCGCCATCTTCACACAATGGACCTGGACACTGAATTGCTGCATAGACAGGCCATATGCAGGGCAAGGGACACTTACGTACCAGATACGCCCTTAACCTGCACCCCTGGTCTTTTGCGAATGATATCTGGACGTCGGCGGCCAATCATGCTACATTCTTTGCCCGATCCTTCGGCGGCCAGAGGAGAGAAGAGAGCAAGACCTTCCAGCTCGGCTGAGTCGGACGACGAGCCACCCAATACCCGTGTTAGGGTCTCATGATTTCGTGTCGAAGTACCGAGTTTGGAGTCTGTGGAGCAGAGCCCTACTGAACGGGCAGATGGTTGTTTGTTCCTGTCATTTTTTGTTGTTTCTACTGGCTCTGTCGTATTTTACCGTCATTTCAATTGGCTACGTTGCCCTGTTATCGCTTATGCTCTTGTCTTTTCTCCGGAGCACCCAGGAGTGTTCATCAGGATGTCAGAACGGCAATTTCCTTCCTAGCGAACTTTGATTTCATACGTCAAGACTAACCAACGATAGTCGTAGTATCTAGATCTTGTATAGCACTGTTTTGATCGAGCAATCAGTAAGGACGTGAATTGTGAATAATAAACGGCAAGCGTGAGGTATTGCTCTACTTGAGGCAGGACTCCACCTGCCTCGACGACCGTCCAGCAGGACCGCGCTTTCCTGCAGTGCCTCCTTCAGAAGCTCACCCACCGCCTTCCATTCCGAATCGATGACACTGAGGGAAGCTGCAAAGGGCAGGAATGTGCCTTCACAACCTTTGCCTCAACGATCCCGCGTCTCTCGACGTCACGTCAAACTGGATCACACACATTTCAAGTATGAGGTCGCGTCTCCTCGATCAATTCCAAACGCTGCGAGAACAAATACATCGTGTGTTCGATTTACCACTCGCCTGAAAAGACGCTTCTAATACTTCGACAACCCCGGTCCATCTCTTACGCCTGGACGGCCTTCCTGAAAGCCCGGCTCTCGTTACCCTCGACCACCTTGGCGACGGGCGTGAGGTGCGCCTCGTTGGCCTCGTCTGCTCCCTGCAACTGACGAATGTAGGCCTGGGCGACTCTTAGCCAGTTTGCCTTCTCGCCTCTGCTCGCACCCTGCCCTTCCCACACCCATACGGTACGTCCCGCATCATCCAAAAGGAAGACATCCTGGCCATCAAAGTCTGACATCGAGGCCTTGCTGCCGTCCTTGACTAGGTCGAATCTGAGCTCGCCAGATGCGTCGCTCAGCCTGAAGAGCTTCTGGGGCCTCTCGCCCGCGTGGGCCTTGGACGCCGACCTGACAGGTCTGGGGCACTTGAATCCGGACTGGGGGGTGTCGTCGTCACCGCCAAGCAAGCCGACGATGACGCGGGACCTCGACTCCTCCTGTGTCAACACCTCTACATCGATGTGTTTCGCCAGGGTCATGTCGTTGACGACTTGAGCAGCCTTGGCCTTTTCCATCGGACTGCAGCTCTTGCCCTGCCACTGCCAAATCTTGTCGCCAGTGTCCAGCACGAAGACGTCTTCGTCGTCCAAGCTTTTCCACGTGGGCTCGACCTCGTGCACCACAACGCCACTCGCACCAACGGACGGGTTCTTGAAGATGCGCAGGAGCGTGAGAATTTCTCCCTTGGGTTCATCCTCCTCGACGTGGCGGAATCCTGATCGAACACCACCTGAGCGGATCTGAATTCTGGGGAAGAGTTCCAAGAAGTCATCCGAGGGCGCCGACTGCACCTCACGATGCTGAGTCGCAGCGCCGTGCAGGAACTCATCGAGCTCTACCGTCTTGTACGCCGCGGTGCCGGCCTCATCCTGCGTCGTGTGGGCTCCGAGCCAGAAGAAGATCTCATGGCCTAGCTTCTCAGCATCGTCCTTGGAGCCGACTTTATACGAGTGGAGGACGATGTAGCTGTCGCCGTCCATGAACTGGCCGTACTTTTCCTTCGGCCAAGGGACGACCTCGAATTCCTCGATGCGCCAGATGTGCAGGCCTGCCTCCTGGCCGACCTTTCCGTCGTTCCATGCGGGCTCGGTTGCGGCGGAGTTGTACTTCACGCGATGGTCAATGTCCGAGCCAATGAGCTCGACATTGCTGTCCTTGATGTCGTACTCCTTGAGGTGCACGAGACCCTGGTTTGGCGCCATATTTGATTAAATTGTAGAAAGTGGTATGTTCGTCTCTTCACAATGGATTGTGTCAGTTTCAATGGTTGATGAGATCGTTGCAGGTTGTGAAGCTCAGTTCCAAGATGTTGAGGGCGGACAGGGGACAACGTTTCAACTTCAACGTCATGGCGAACACGGACGGCCAGTGGCTGAGCCCAATCACGGTGGAGTGTGTCTCGTCAGCTGTGCGGGGATCAGCGAATTCAATTGGGCCGACCTCCCTTGCGGCTGTATGTCGAAGCCACAGGAGATCCATCAATAATCAAGGTTACAGCGCCCCAGAAACGCCTCTTCCAAGTCCAATCCTCCAGCGCCAGCCACAGCTTTCTTCAAGTGGTATTGTGGTGTCTTCCACGACACGTCAAGCCCGGCAACAAAAACCTCGCGGGTCGCGAAATCCGCCGACACCGCCTCAATTGAAAGGGGTATTGAATCCCAGCCAGTCTGATTCTGGGTCTGGTACGCCTGTGCATCTCATGGGATCGCCTCCTAGCCCGCTCATGGCCTGCGCTTGCAAAATATTGGTCTGGCCGTTGGTGGCTCTCGTTTGTGGGTCCGACATTTTCGGATAATTGAAGAAGTCGAACACGTCGATGTTGTCCAGCTCGCTTAACGACGTTACCTGGGTCGATGTGGGCTCCAAACCAGACCGCCGTGTTGAGGATGTCAAAGTCACCAAATCATGAGCACTCCTGGGAATCACACTGTCAGCAAAGTCCGGGCGCTGGAGGGATAGCGAACACGGGATACTGACTTTCTCATGGCAGTAAAGTTCATGTCGCCTTGACGTCCTCGCTGGACTACTCGAGCAAGGATTTTGGCATAATTATTTGCCACCTCCCAGTATTGGCCGACATGTCTGAGGGTTTCGATGAAGAAATCAATCTTGGGATCAACCGGGCAGCCTACGGTTGCGGCATGGACGAGCAGCAACCGGGCAGCAACCCATAGGGAGAAGGCAAAAGGAGGCCCGAGCAGGTCGAGACCATTAGCCTCGAACACGTCTTGGGCAATGTCGCCGAGACTTTGCACGGCCGACAGGCATCGCTGCATTGCATAATGTGACGGGACGAATATGTGAGATCTCACGGTGGGGTACGCAGCCGAGGAATGCAGGCGCACCACCGACGTGACATACGCGCTATGCAGCATGAACCAGTTCGCGACACGGCTGGCTGGATCGGAGTGGCACAGCGCCGATATCCTGCTGTATTCACTCGGCAGGCTTTGCAACCAGTTGTCGAGCGCACCATCTAGTGACCTGTATGTGTTGCGCCAGACGGCCATCTCGCCCGATGATGTTACGTCGATGGGTGTTTTCAGAAAATCGTGGACTTTGCTGAGTATCCGGAGAATTTCGCAGTGATACGAGAAGCTCCCCAAGTTGTCCGGCTTGTTGATCGCTGGAGGAGCTGTCGGATCGGAGGACGGGCTCCATGATCTCGTCTCGACTGGCACATTTCGGGAAAACAAGTCGTACGAACACGGAAGCCCGCGCTTCATCTTTTTGTCGTCGAGCATGAATTCGAATGTGGTCGTTGCGATCGTTGCATATCGATCGAGAAGGTATACCATCCAACACAGTCTCCTCCGGCCCTCATCTTCGATCCACGACTCCGGACGCCCTGTTGCAACTCTTCGTATCGACCCGGTATGCGGTGTATCTTCGGCCTCGGCCGTGAGGTATACGCTGCTTTCCTCGCACAAGTCAAGCTGTCTCACGTTCTGTGAGAGCAGCGCAAGCATGTTCCAACCACGCGGCCCGTTGGAGGTACCGAGCTCATCCAAGCACAGAATGACCAAAGCTCTCAACGCCGCGATGCTGACATTCTCCATCGCGTATATCTGGACTCGTCCTTTCGACAAGGCGTGGTAATGAGATCGCATCTCGGGTGATAGTCGCGGATCTTTCATGAACCTCAGTGTCGTTGCTACAATAGCGTGTAACAGAACACGGTCGGCTTCGGTCAGGGAAGTCGAGCCGAAGAAGGCGCCGAATGTTGTCTTGCGGTCAAGAATAGGACACCATGTGTTGCAGTGTTTGAAGTACAGGTCGACAAGCGTGTAGAGCATGTCGTGTGGCGGAAACTCTGACACAGTCGACAACGACGATGCATCTTTCCGAGGCCCAGAAATGCTGGGAGATGCACCTGTTTGACTGAAAGATTCACTAGCCGAGAGGTTTAGGAGAGCCTGTACTGAGGTTCGGTCACCGTTCTGAAGGGCCTCCTGAGCATCGCCACCCTGCCAGAAGGGACTCGAGAAAGCCGGCGTCCTCCCGTTCGCTGTTGATGCTGACCGTGGAATAGCGGTCGCGGCACTGACGCCATTCCCATCATGATGAAATCCTTCGACCTGAGATGATGCTTGGTTACTGATGGCCGGGGACAGGGCCTGGGTGTTGCCATTGGCGACGTGATCATTGGCGATGTGGTCCTCCACTCGGCGACCCAGAGCCTGTAGGAGTGCGTCGAGCCTGTTGACCTTGGCCTCAAGCTCGAGACTGAATCCAATGCGGCTTCCAGGCTTCTGTCTCTCAAGATAGACACACGTGCGGTTGTGTCGAGCGCACCATGAGCAGGCCGGTTCTGCGCGATCGCATTTCACCTTTCTCGCCTTGCACAGCTCACATCTGAAGCGCGGTCAGCCAGGTGTTACAGCGTCATCCATCAGCAAGCAAACAACATACGACGTCTTTTGGTGCTTCTCCCTCTTGCGCTTTCTCGGTGGCCCGGCCGAGCCATTGTTGGCTGTCTCATCACCACTCGAGCCTTCGTCGTGACTGAAGACCGAGTTCGCTTCCTCCTCGGCCATTGATTGCGGACGTGCATTTGCATTCGTTCCTATCATGTCTGTCCCATGTTCGTGGGAACTCCACATTTCCCCTTTTTACTCTGACAGAAAGTGAAGTGTTTTGCTCTTATCAGGGCCCTTTTGGATGGAGCCTTGAGTAGCAGGGCCGAATTTGATGTCAGAAAGTGGTCATTTCACTAGGCGATGCGGGCGTGCAGCGAGCAGTAAAAGGCAGGCTAACGAATTGCCTCAGCCGGCCGGGATGGTGGAGGATGCGCCGCAGCAGCTGGATGCGCATATGGGGATAATCCGGCGTTGCCCGCCGTGGTTGGCCGGGTTGAGGGCAAAGTCTTGGACTTTTGCCAGGCAACGTGGGCAGCTGGTTCCAGTTGAGTGCACGAACCTGCAGCAAGCTTGTCTGTCTGTCTGCAGTGCTGCGCTAAGGGCTTGTCTGAAGAGGGTGGTGTGCACAGGGTCGAGACTGAGGGGACGATACGGCAAACAGGAGAAGAGGGAGAGACTACCGAATCTTCAGCGAGAGGCAAAGATTCGACGAGACTAGGGGGAAAAGAGTCGGGAAAGCTTGTCCGCGAGATGACAGCAGGCAACTGAGCGCTGTGGTGTGTCTGAGTGAGAAGAAATTCTGACCACAGGTGCCTGTGCCAGCGAGCCACGGGGCTTTTCGGTGTTCTCGCCCGACACACAAAGAGAAGAAGGATGCGCAGAAGAAAACCGGTCCAGGTCCAGTCATGGGCCCACTTGCTGTCCACAATAAGAGCTTGGATCTGGTGTCGCAAAAAAGCTACGGAAGACGGCGGAAGAGAGAAATAAAGACTCCGCCGCGCCGCCGTCGCGCGCCAACCAAGTCAACGAACCAACCGGTCCCGTGGCCGCTGCGCCCTCGTCTCTCACGGAAAAACCGTTGCACAGTAAGTCATCCCGCGGCAACGAGGGATGGACGGAACGGATGAGGGGAGATCGTTGCGCCCAATGCCGCGAGTCCCTGGGGGGCGATTACGATAACGAGGGTCATCTCCGAAGACATTTGTCGCAACACACAATGGGCAGACGGAACAAAGGTACTATTACAGCTTCTTGGTACAGCAAAAGAGACGCAGGAACCGCGTTACCGCCATCTATTCCCCTCATTGTCTCCAAGTTTACAACTGAAAACTCCCACCCTATTTGGCAAACAGCGCCGCACCCCGGCCAGTCCGAACCCGCACCCCGCTCGTTGCCTTCCCCTGTCAAGGCTGGTTCTGCGAGGATCATCCATGCGGTCTCATAGCCGTCAAAAGGTGGGGGCCACGGCAGTGGCTTCGACGATGTCTCCCACCGCGGGGCACCATATGAGATGGCTGGTGGTTTTGCGATCGTCACCCGCGACCCTCCGCGGTCTTCGTCCGAGGAGAGCGAGAGGCGCGGAATGTCCTCCACGGTGGCAGCAATGACGACCAATTCCCTGCGGGCCGCTGCCTTCACGACTCAGTCAAAGGCACGATGGAGACGTGGGACAGCCCGCCTTCCGATCATCCGTACGTTACAGGGAACTTCCGCACGTGGAGATGGATCGCGATGATGCTGCGACTGCGGGTTTCCTTGAAAACCTCGACTTGGCAGTCTTGAAAACATTGCAGGCCGGCGCACACGAATGGAGCACGAGATCCAGCACACAAACACACACGTTTCGACAAAGAGGCAAAAATGCGTCATTCCCTCATGGTACCTATGATACAACTCGGAGCTGTCTCCAACAGGCGCCAAACCTCATTCGCGCCGCCGTCGTGATGGGATTCCCCAAGCAACACAGTGGTATATGGCAAAAAAATTAATCATGAAAAGAAAAGATGGCCTCCAATAATCTTTTTAGCTTGACCAGCCCTTGCTCATCTGGACAGCCTTCTCCCAGCGGCCGAAGCGCTTGCCAGCCTCCTCGTCCGTGATCTGGGGCTTGAAGATGGTGCGACCCTCCAGGTTGACGTCGTTGAGCTCGTCGAAGCTCTTCCATACGCCCACAGCGAAGCCTGCCGCGATGGCCGCGCCGAGGGCAGTGGTCTCGCGCATGCCTGGACGGTTGACAGGGATGCCAATGATGTCGGACTGGGTCTGTTACAAGGGTCAGCGCCTGTGTTTTTGTTCCTTCCGCGCCGAGGCTCGGAAAAGGTCCGGGGCTTATTCTTACCTGCATGACGAGGTCGGAGTTACACATGCCACCGTCGACGGCGAGCTCGGTGAGAGCGGCGCCACTGTCCTTCTCCATGGAGTCCAAGATGGCCTTGGTCTGGAAGCAGGTGGCCTCGAGGGTGGCGCGAGCAATGTGACCACGCTGGGTGTATGCCGTGATACCGAAGATGGTACCCCGCGCATCGTCGATCCAGTAAGGAGCGAAGAGACCGCTGAAAGCGGTAACGAATGTGCAACCGCCGTTGTCCTCGACAGTCTCGGCGAGGGCGCTGAGCTTAGAAGACGACTCCATGAAGCCAAAGTTGTCCACGAGGAACTTGACACTAGATCCGGCTACAGCAATGCTGCCCTCAAGGGCGTACATGGTCTTGCCGGGGCCAAAGTCGAAAGCAACGGTGGTGAGCAGACCGTGAGAAGAAATAACGGGCTTAGGGCCAATGTTGTACAGCAGGAAGCATCCAGTGCCGTATGTGTTCTTCGCAAGACCAGCAGTGAAACCCTTCTGGCCGACCAGAGCAGCGGACTGGTCACCCAAGCAGCCAGTAATCTTGGTACCGCTCAGGGCGGTGTTGGCCAGGGTACCGTAGGCCTCGGGATCGGACGAGCGCACAATCTTGGCCAGCTTGACCTTCTTGGGGTCAATTCTGAACCAGTCAATGAGGTCCTCATCGTACTGCAGGGTGTGGATGTTCATGAACATGGTACGGGCGGCGTTGGAGGGATCGGAGACGTAGACATCGCGCGACGGGCCGCCGTTGAGCTTGTAGACCAGCCAGGTGTCGACTGTACCAAAAGCCAAAACACCGCGCTCGTAAGCATCCTTGACCTCGGGAACGTTGTCAATGAGCCAGAGAAGCTTGCCGACGGAGGGGTATGTGGAAAGGGGAAGACCGCATCGCTGGGTGAGCTCGCTGGCGCCGAGGCGGTGTTTGAGCTTGCGGACGAGGTCCTTGGTACGGGTATCAGTCCAAACAATGGCGTTGTACAGAGCCTTGCCGGTGGTCTTGTCCCAGAGAACGGTGGTCTCTCTCTGGTTGGTGATGCCGACAGCCTTGATCTGGTCGCGGGAGTGGCCCTGAGTCTCAAAAGCTTGGACAGCGCCATCAATGCACGCCTCAACCGAAGAGACAAGCTCCTCGGGGTCGTGCTCGTGCCAGCTGTCGCAAACTAATTAGCTTTCCGCGCCATTGCGACCAGAGCTACCCAATTGAGAGCGCGACTTACCCAGGGTTGGGGTAGATTTGCTTGAACTCAAGCTGGTGCGTCGCAACGACCTCACCGTGGGGGTTGAAGATGAGGAATCGCGTGCTCGTGGTGCCCTGGTCAATGGCACCGACGAAGGACGGCTTCTGGCCGTTAGCGGCGGCAGAGGAAGACATTTTGTTGGAGGAGAGTTTGAAACGCCTGGGAAGAAGGGACGAGAGCATTCAATGGCACCAACGAGGACGACGACGGCGACGGGCGCAATGAGCTGAAGAAGGAGAAGAAGGGACAATTGGGTATCTTGAGGAACGAGGTGAGGAGGGAAGAAGGAGAGGAGCACAGGTTCACGGTTGAGCTTTGAGTTTCACGGGCTGACAAAATATTTGTAGTGAGTTCCCCTCCGGCCCCAGTACCATGTGCGCGGCGCATGTGGGAAACCCAGCTCAGCTCCTCCAACAGCTTAGGTGCGGCGTCGGGTTAGCTCCCTCCATGGGGAACAGGAACAAGACAGCTTTCTCGAACAAAAGCTACCCCTCATTCTCCCATCTCTACCTACCTTACCCCATCCCCAGATCTGTGGAGATGTCACGAGATGAGCACCAACAGGCCGGACTGGGAGAACCGCAGCTCTGTCAACGAGGGGGCCCCGGAAATGCAGGATCATCCCCCACTGGGGCATGCGAACGGGTCACAACGGGGGGATGCGGATGCAAGTACTTCTTCAATGACAGGCAGCCGAATCCTTCATCAATTGCACGCGAGGAATTCCGGGATGGCAGCAGGATGGGGATTCGGGGTGGGCACACCGAGTAGCCGCAGCTGGTCGGCCGATGGTTCGAGGGGGGAGCAGGCAATGTCGGCCGCAAACAGCGAGTAAAAGCGGGGGAGGACGGGCTTGATGTCATTCCCAGGCGCAGTGCAACGAGATCAGTTTCGGTCTGCGTCGGGGCGAACTCCACGGCCGGTGGGTCCGGCCTTATGCCGGCCGTTATCTCGAGCACCGGTCGCCCGAAGAGCGGGGTTCTTCACACGAAAAAAGAAGGACGAGAAGACCAGACGAGATGATGGTCCCACGGGATGCTACGGATAGCCCGCGGTGTGTGTGTGGTGTCACTGGCGTGCGGAACTACTAGACTGGCACACGATCCCACAACAACCTGGACCAGTTCTTGCAGACCAAGGCCGTCCAAGACTCGCCGGGCTAGAGCTGAACGGGCTGGATCCCCCGCCTCTTACGTGCGGCTTTGAGGGAAAAGAGCAGCATGGGATGAGGATCTCGTGGACATGAGGGTGGGCAGAAGTCCGTTCGGACATGGCCGCCGCGCGGCACAGCAGTGTCTCCAACCAACATGGCATCGCAAACGAGTTGAAACGAACCAACGGCTTCGACTTCCCAATTGAACGCGCCAATCCAACCCGATCATGCACCAGATCATGTGCCGACGTGCGCTTCGACGACTAGAACTTTTCTAAGCCGCTTGTCATCTTGTCAAAATTGGTCAAGAACCGTCGATGCTGACCTGGTTCCCCTCCACTACGTTACACTCGCGCTCACACCATCAGTCTTATTCGTCCGTCTGCGAACGACAAACTGCGGGGAAAGAGGCGAAAGTTCCAACCGCGATGCAGTGCAG